CGCTTGATAAAACAAATCACTTTTGCTGGGTAAGCCAATCCAAAACATAGCAAATTAGTAGCGTCGAAGGCGAGTTTTCGTGTTTCATTGTATACAGAAGACTGAGAAAAAAACCACAGCTTATCTACGGAGTGAATAATTATTGGTGGGGCGAAGCGTTCGTCGATTCGTCCGTGCTTTCACCCGTCCATTCTTTCTTGCTTCCGTCCGTCCAACCGTCCATGCGTCCATCCACGTGTCCTTCCATACGTCTACTCTTCCATATGTCCATTCGTTCGTCTGTATGTCTATCCGTCAGTGCGTCTGTTCATGTGGCCCTCCCTCTGCCTGTCCGTCCGTCTGTCCGCGCGTCCACCCCTGTTTCTGTCTGTCTGTCCGTTCGTCAGTCCATGCGTTCATCTCTATGTTAGTACGTGCTTCCTGTCTATCTAGCGAACACTCGAAGTACAGCCATCTCACATTTTTTCATCATGTATTCATCGTATACAAGTGGCGTCATCCAGCGGACATTCTGAGAACCGCTCTTTCGGGGGTGTGCCACCGGTGGTTACGCACTACAACGAGAGTCGCACAAGCGACGCCGTAAGTAGCTTCTCCCCTTTAAAAAATGGCAGCATTTCACGGAGTGAATGATGGAGAGTGGGGCGAAGCTTTCGTTCGTCCATTCGTTCTTGTTTCCATCCGTCCATGCCTCCGTCTGTATGACTGTCCATGCGTCCATCCACCCGTCCGTGTGTGCTTCTGTTCATGCGTCCGTCCCTGCGTTCGTCCATGCATCTGTCTGTGTGTCCGCTCGTAGATCTATTCAACACTCCAAGCACCACCATCTGGCATTTTTTCATCATATATTCCCCATATAGAAGCACCGCCAGCCAGCGGACATTCCAAGGACTAAACGAGAGGTGGCACATGCACACTTTCTTATGGCTTGCGCTTCGGGTCTACCTCCCACCTTTAATTACATCGAGTTCATGGTATATACTAGTTCACTGTAATCATGGCACTGCGGCCCAACGCTCGCTAAACTTTTCTAAAACCAAGGAGGTTAGGCCCAGCGAGTATAACGTAGCAACCTTTTCTGTCAGATAGTGTTCAATGTACATGCCAATGGCTGCTAATGGGAAATGAGAGACAGGAGAATCCGGCTTTTACTTTCTTATGGCTTGTGCTTCGTATCTACTTCCCACCTTTAACCACCTCGAGTTCATGGTATATACTAGTTCATTGTACTCATGGATGGCACTGTAGCTCAACGCTCATTCAACCTTTCTAAGGAGGTTACACCCAGCGAGTATAACGTAGCAACCCTTTCTTGTCAGATAGTGCTCAATGTACATGCCAATGGCTGTTAAGGGGGAATGAGACAGGAGCATTCAGCTTTTAGTTAACGCACACGCCGCGAACTTTTTATTGCTCAACAAAGCACAGGAGAAATCTCCCACTAGCACCACCTTGCAGTTAGAAATGTAACACTGGTTACACACTACGACTACGACTACAACTACGAGGGACGAACGGGTGCTGCTTTAAGGAGCTTTGCCTCGAAAACTCTCGCCCATATTTCTTGTGCCTTCCCTCGCAAATAATACCGTTATCGCTCGTCAGTTCACAGCTTTCTCTCTATTGCACGACCGCAAACAGCGCACGCACCAGCGAAAACACAGCGGCAACTGCGGCGGATGCACCAACTTTTGCCTACCGTGTGAAACCAAACGCTGGACGACAGTGCCATTACATTTTCCTGACGTTTGTCTAGTGAAATTCGTCAATGGGAAGCCAGCCCTGTGGCCCCTGCCCAGGGTCCACTTACCCTTTCTCCGCGCGCGCCTAAAATTTACTCGATGCGCCGCCCTGGTAAGCTGGCTGAAAAACAGATAGTCGCACAGAGTCGCCGTGAGGTGTAATACGGGCACGTTTTAACTAGAGTTGCTGTATATGCTACCTTTAGGTAGCATATACAGTAACTCTCTAGTTTTAACGCGCTCTCGTACACGTCACGCACGCTGAAACGCATGGTGAACACCGTGCGGCACAGCCCCTGGCTTTGCCCGATGTGCCTCGTGTTGCAAGTACTGTGGAACACGCAAGACCAGCGAAGAATTGGACACGTCGCTGAAAACTGCGACGCAGCAGGCCAGCCGCGATCATTCTCCACTACGGTTTCAGCGATGTGCCGCGCGCAGTCGGATATGCTTTCGCGAGACTGTGTTGTCGAAAGGACGGAAGCGGTCCGATGTGAAGTACGTCTATGACATGAAGGAAAGTGCTACCTTTGAACTATTGTTATATTATGTTATATAGTTTATATTATTCTTGTTGACTGTACTTTTAACGTAGTGCAAGCATTGTAGAGCGTAGACTAGCAGGTAAATGTGTTTTGATAACTCTTGCCAAGCTCGACGTAGTGTGCAGGTTGCTCGTTATGCTCTTGCTTTGAAGCAAAATCAGTAGTTTCTCGGGCAGCCCTGAGGTGGCATTCGGCCCAGTGACAGCTTTTTGAGCGAAAACATCATATTTACGTAGATGGTAGTAGCAGCTCTTGCACTAAATATTACAGGAGTTGTTTCTCTACGCGCTTTCCTTAATGGTGTGTTCAATGGCTAGTGTGAACCTACAAAATGCTCGTATCGCCGTCTAAAAAAATGAAATTTTGAAGCTCACAATGAACTGTGGAATGAATCTCTAAGGCAACATTCATACGAAAGGTCAGTGTAAAGGGGAGATTTGTGGTGTTAGTGGAAATGCAAACGTGTCGCAGTGATCGTGCTTTAAAGAATTCGACTCACCCTCGTATGGAGATAGTTCACAAGCTTGCCCTCGGTGGTCGTCTTAGAAGTGTGGCAGCTTGGGCTAGTAGGTATGACATGGCGATAGTTATAGCGCGAGAACAGAACGACGACACAGAGACAAGTGTCCTTCGTGTCCTTCTTGTCTCTAAGGATGATACCTAAAAAAAAGAAGCCTTTTGAACAACCTGGTGGTAATTGACTTTGTGGTGGTTCCGTGGTTGACATGCAGTGTGTGGTCAGTAATGCAACATGCGTAGATCATCATGGTTTTCCCAACAGTCATCGTCTTCTATTCAGCTTGGAGCTGTGCGTGTGACAATCAGATATACTACCGTATTTACTCGGATGTGACGCGACGTTTTTTTTTCTTTCATATTTGTGCTAATAAAGTCGACCATCATGTACCGAGTACCGAAATTCATTTTTTTCCTTCTTAGACGGAATGAAATGTCACCCCTCGCGTTATGATCGGGGTCGACTGAATACGGTATGTGTAATATAAGGCGTGACGCTTACGTAATCAAAGCTTTCATGTGTTTTCTTGAGTGCTTTCCGGGCAAGTTTAAATTAAAAGACTTGTAGTTTTTTCCAGAGCACCAAGCCATGTGCATTGGTGGAAATCGACGCCGGAGGGATTCAACTATTTATGCCCTGGATTATATTTACTGTTATTAAAAACTTTTTGTTGTTGTAACAATCGTGAATACAACAATAATGCCGGTAGCGAAGTTACTTTTTCTTCGTCTGATTATCGCGCCCGGCGGCATGGCTCACGTTAATATTTGTTCATACACCCGAATGTTGCCGGCCGCGTTCGACAAGGCGGTGCTGCATGTGCGCGGAAGCTCCAGGGCAGGTTACCAATACAAGGCCTCTAGCCTCTGCAGAAAACGAAGTGAAAATGGTTCCATGGTATTGCTAAACGAAGGCGCGATTCCCTCACTAATGGTGCTAAAAAATGCAGCTGATCGCGCTATCACGGGCGGCTCCAGATTGTAAGGCGGGTGGACCAACAGAGCACAGCTGTGTGCCCCGCTGAAATACCCTTTTTTATATGCGCTTGTTTATAGGTATGTAGCACATCAAATGAATATTAAACGCAAAGTGTTTTTTTTATAATATTCTGCTGTTTGCTGCACGTGAGCACCACATCAGGCAAACGAAGTTAACCATTAGTTGTCATATGTTTCGCACGTATAGACATATACAGACTGTAGAAAATAGTCATCCTTTCTACTTTTTTTTGACAGTGCTTTCTGAGTAACAGTCCACTTGAGCTTTCAGACAATATGGTAGTACATTTTTATTGTACACCTTTAGGAAGGCCTGCAACAACACTGTTTACATCAGCCTGTTTTGTTTTATTTCAGCAATGCTATAATATTCTTTTACGTCGACTTCGAGTCACTCATCCATCTATCCACTTAAATCTCAGTCTCTGAAAAGCTTGTGCATTGCGAGCTCTTTAATGAGGACTGAGCTTTCCTGTAATTACTTTTTTGCAATTTCATAATTAAATGCAATTTTTTTTGCTATGTTTCAAGCATTGCTATATTAGTTTCCGTTTCTGTCTCTTCCTTTGATTTATGTAGGTTCTCTTGATAAGGCTTCGTTCATCCTTGAAATCATGGCCAAGTATCTCGACCGTTTTTTTTTTTTGTTCGGTCTCGATTCTTTTAGTTGAATGAACTTGCGTACTTTAGCTGCACATTTCATTTCGTTCTCATTATGACAAACTTCTTCAAAATTACTTTTTTCAAGGCTTTTTTTTTTGTAGAAGCGAAGTCCTGGCCACATAACCCTGCTGTGTAGTCGGCCTTCGATAATCCGAAATGACAATTGACCCGACGGATCTATGACTAATTTTGTACGAAAACGTGACCTTGCATTTTCAGCACAGAAGCGCGTTCTCTAATATTTCCAATACTGTTCCTCCCGTGCAAGTTCCACTCATGGCCTAAATATTGTAATCATGATAATGTGGATGAGTACGCTGGCTTTTGACAGTAGTGAGAACTGTTAATGATCGATACTTGACGCAACTTCATCATAAGCATAGTGTATAGATTTTCGTGGGGAGGTGCTGTGTACCGTTTGGTTGATGTTGAGAGCATCTCGAAGGAAGGGTCGCTTCAGAATATTCGAATATATGACGCATCAGTAGCTGCGTGCAGTGAGTCAGAGAGAAAACATAAGTGCTTTTTTTCTTACCTTTGAGCTACCACTTGGCTTATGAAGTTCCGGTGAGTCAAAAGAACACCTTTTGGCAAACCCGTCGAACCACTGGAGAAGATGATTGCCAACACCGAGCTTCCGCTAAGGTTCAAGGTGGTTTCCTGCTCCACCAGAGGAGTCTGCTTTAATTCTGATAGACTCAGGGCGCCTTCGTAGGTGCCACTTGTAACAAAGAACATCTGAAAAAAAAAACGCAGCACCATACAAAATAAATTATTGGCTTGAGATTGCACCTGCGCCTGCTTGTACAGCTAAGTGTCTTCTTTTGAATAGTACGCCCTTTGGCCGCTTTATGTTTGCTTTGGCTTAGTTTTTTTGCGTTGGAATGTTCTTTTTAGCTTTGGTTTCGGAGTTATTCTTTAAAATCACTCAAGTGAAATTTAGCGATGCCTTTTGGCGTGTCGTAGCGACTCAACAGACTTAAAGTACCCCAGAATGCGCTCTGGAAAAACGGCGCACTGTCCCCCACCCTCCCCTTCAGCTTCCTACCAAGCGTGTCGTTTTTGCAATAGGTTCTGATCGTGAGTAAAAAGAACGGCCGTAACCCTACCTCCCCGCGGTACCTCCCAACCCCACTCCAAGTGGAGAATTTTCGGCATACCCTTGTACAATAGTCAAAATGGAACAATCAACTATGCGTGGTATAGCTAAATATACACTGCATCTTGCGCATAATATGAATTCTTTCCCACTAGACCAGTTTCAGTATCAAATGTGTCGATAAGAGTACCGGAGCATGGTGGAAATAAGAGTACCAGAGCATGGTGGCTTCTCAATGTAAAGTTTAACGCCAACTATAGTTCCTATTTGTTAAACTGCGATGAAAAATTTCATGGATCTGTCAGCTCCGAAATTGTGTTTATCTGGTTTCACTCATTTGGTCTAGTTTTAGGTCGGCTGAAAAGATCATACACGAGAAAAAGAAAAAAAAGAGCAGTAATTTATTACACGTAATCGTAATCGGAGTACTGCATAAACAATCTGTAGATCTCGAGTGCGCGTGTAGACTATTTATAGCCGAAGCCAATATTTCATCGCCAGAAACATATCAGACATTGTGAGGACGGCTATTTATTAAACAGCTGTGTGTTAGTGATATCGTAGGCTGCCAATAATACAACAGCCCACAGAAATTACTCTAACTGTTGTAAATAAGTAACTTATCCGCATAAAGTTTATTTACATATGTATTTATTCCCATCAAGATATAGCCTCAGTTTTCCTGCGTTCATGTAAACCACCAACTTTGTGAATGTTGCCGTCATGGAGTTGTAAAACAAGATGAAATCTACCATCATTTCTACTTTTTCTGCGTATTCAAGCTGTGTCTGCAGCTACCTTTTATATTGGGCAAAAGTACATTCCTCCTTTTAGGTTGACGAGGGAAAGAGCTGAGTGTTTATGCAATCAGTGAGTGGCTTAGTAAATACTCGTGACCCCGCATTACACGCGCACTAGAACTTTACTTGTATGAGAAAAAAAAGACACTCATTCATACGGCAATTACATAGGCTAATGCACTTATCCAAATAATATTAGCTTCGGTGTCATTGCCGAACAACTAAGTGCTCATGAAAGCAACTTTTCCTTCTGTTTCCATGAATAAATGGAGCCTATCCTGTTAATGTTTGCTCTTGAAAAACAGGGAGCAGGACTTTATTGAACCTTTGTTACCTCCACTGATGAAAGGAATTCACAAGCATCTTTCACTTTCTTCATGGTTTCGATGTCAGTGACAACAAATTTTGGTTGGCATTGCATTAACTCGCTGCGAGTTTCTCCTAAAAAATAAAGAACAGAGACAAAGGTCAATGAAAAAGACAATGGTATAAAGGTGTTATGATACACAGTTTCAAACACTATAGATCGATCAGTTGGTGTTACGCCTACTCTTTCTATGCCAAAAAAAAGAAAAAGAAGACTCATATAAAAATGCTTATTAAATTGACGTGGCAAAAGGCGGAATAATAAAGGGATGAAACCATGTTTATGACTCTTTGTATTGCCCCGAAGGCACTGCGGTCCACAAATAAGAGAAGGAAACATCTTCTGCAGGAAACAAATGCTATAGACGCATAGGAGTCGGCGCTGTGGGTGCTAATTAACAGGCAAATCAAAACATAAATAAATGAACAATAAATAAATGTTGCAGTTTCACCCGAGAAATCTAAGCATTCACAACTATAGTAATGTAGTACTCGACTGCTGACCCGCAGGACGCGGGATTGAATCCCGGCTGCGGCGGCTGCAATTTCGATGTAGGTGGAGCTGTTGTAGGCCCGTGTGCTCACATTTAGGGAGCACGTTAAAGAACCCAGGGGGTTGAAACTTCCGGAGCCCTCCACTACGGCAACTCCCATAATCATATGGTGGTTTTGGGACGTTAAACCCCACATATCAATCAGCTGTAGTAAGGTAATAAACAACTACCAGAAGTGAGGTTCGCATTTCTATAGGCTCTGTAAGCTGCAGCAAACAATACCGAACCAAATGAATTTGCGTGCACGAAGTCACGTGCGCACAAACGCGAACATACGCAACTCTACAACCACGGTTCACCCACTCGAGGAACGCTGGTGTGGTGAAGAGGCGGACACCGCCAAGAGACGGTAGCGAACGCTTTGTTAGGCTTGTTTCACTGAGTAACGTGCCTCAAAGCATGCGACTTTTCCACGTCTCTTGTGCTGGAGAAGCAGCAGCACGTACTCACATGAATTCATCAAATATTTCGACTTGCAATTTCCTTGTAACCGCCGTAGATTATGTAAATCAGAGATTGCGTGAGTCACGTTAGTGCTTATCGGGTGGTGTATGCGTGCGTATATAGCTACGGCGGAACAGACCGGAAAAAAGTATGCTTACCCCGGCTGCAGTAGGCCGATGCGGTAGGCCCATCTGCTCAGACTTAGGTGCATGGTAAAGAATCTCTGGCGGCCGAAACTTCTGGAGCCCTCCACTACGGTGTCTCTCATATTAGTATGGTGGTTTTGCGATGGTAAAACTAACATACCTGCTTACCCCTGCTCCCCCAACCGTGTGTGTGCCCTTGATCTTTACGAAGGGCGCAGTGAAGAGACGCTCTTCGAGCCTCCATCCTTCTCGGCTCGCCATCGCAAGCATTTCACAGCACCCACTCAGCATTCTGCTCATGGTAGCGTAAGAATGTTACCACTATAGGAGTTTGTACGAAGAAATTTGGCAATAGCCAAAAATTCTTAACAGTGAAATTTTCACCTAATAGGCACCGAAATTCAAGGCCAATAAGAATGAGGGTAATTAGTTTTCGGGGCAAAGCATTATTTAGATAAAGGGTGAAGCATTCATGGTTTCGCCCTCATGTGAGACACAGGAAGAGGAGGAGGAAAAAATAGGAGGAAGGACCGGGAGGCATTTCTATCATGTACGGCCCGTTTCTGCATTAAAATAGTGTGACTTTACACTAAAGCGAAATATTGCAAAGTAACCATCATTGTGTTGCATTTTGTTCCTCATTAGAATGCGTGATCAACAGAAGGAAACTCCATTTTATAAAGCGATTTTCTTTTTCAGGATAGAATCTCAGCTGTTCTATATCTTGATCTATATTTCGATTTTCTATTTTCTTCGCTCTATGATTAAGCGAGATTGCTGAACTATTTTTCTAAGTGTCAATGAAATTAAATGAAGCAAAGGAGACAGAACTGTGCGTAGGCATGAGAACGCAACCTCTTCTAAGCAGTAGGTCTGCTGAAGCAGTGTAACATACCTTCATTGAGACTTGGCTTGATGAAACTGGCAACGCCACCAGCAAAGAATGTGCCGCATAAGGCGACTATTAGCTCGCAGCTGTTAACGCAATGGATTGCGACAACGTCTCCCTGTCGTAGCCGAAACTTTTGAAGGCCAGTAGCTACACGGCGGCTGGCATCCAACAGTTCGCCGAAAGTGTACTGCATCCCCAGCCTGACGTCTACCTGCAAATAGATAGAGCAGTGTGTATGCTGTAGATTTAGAATTGTGCACGCGTGTAATAGAAACCAGCCCCGCCGCGATCGTCTAGTGGTTAAGTACTCGGCTGCTGACCCGCAGGTTGTGGGATCGAATCCCGGCTGTGGCGGCTGCATTTCCGATGGAGGCGGAGATGTTGTAGGCCCCTGTGCTGAAATTTGGGTGCACGTTAAAGTACCCCAGGCGGTCGAAATTTCTGGAGCCCTCCAATGCGGCGTTTCTCATAATCATATGGTGGTTTTTGGACGTTAAACCCCCCAAATCAATCAAATCATGTAATAAAAACGAAAGGTTAGTTGCAGCAGAGACAAAGCCTCTTTTTTTTCCCTTGAGAGCTCAGCGATTTCGAAAAAAAATAGTGTTCACGCATATATGTCCTTTATGCATGGATCTGAACATCTTTGCCGTGACTAAAATATCTTGAGAACGTCTCCAAAGTCGTTGAACGACTTCTGTGATCGGCCGCCATGGTAGATCAGTGATTAGGGTGCTTGGCGGCTGACTCGAAAGACACGAGTTCGACTCTAGCCATTGCAGTCGTATTTCGGTAGAGGTGAAATGGTAGAGGCGTCTGCATATTGTGTTGTCAGTCCACGTGAATCAACACCAAATAGTGGATATTCCCAGGGCCCTTGACTACGGCGTACCTCATAATGTAGCCCTCTTTGATGAAGTAAAATCCCAAGTGTTATCATTCTCAAATATTTTGATGATAATTGGTTTTTCATAATACCGAATGTGCAGCCCAAAAACAAACAGACGGAAAGCATAAATGAGGGCAAGCATATTTCTGCGGACATGCATAGTACCCACGTGATTAGGCATTAAGATGCTTTATCGCTTCCCAACATTTGCGATTGCATTTCAACAAAAGTTAATTTCATACTTGGTGTTAACTAAAATTCTCATATGACACGTACGGCTCACATCCAATAATCTCGCATGATTTTATGAAAACACGTATAGTATATCTGTTCATACGAAATTTCGAATATGAGGCATATGAAAACTTTGCCTATAGGTTGTCCCCAATACAGATGAAGCCCAGGAAACAAATTCATCTGGAAGAAACACACACACACATAACGCTGTGCTTAGTAAAAAAATTATCACATTTTTTCGCGCTTGACTCGAACGCTCCAACGAGGGGCCTCGACCTTCTTCGACTGACACTAGAGCCACGCGTTGGACGCGGCATGTTTGCTGCAGCCAATGATAGGTGGAACTCAGGTCAGTAAGAGACTGTTGCGGTTCTGCCTGACCGGCATGACAAATGCATCCGCTTGACAGGTCTATTTCCGCCGCGTATTGCTCTTGGTTACGTACGTTTCTGATACTGGTTGCCTCACGCTTTCGGCAATCAGCCATTGCGTGCGGCAGCTTACGCAGCTTTCTTTTTCTATAATCGCACCTGGCGGTTAAAAAAAAATTGTAATGAGAAATCGGAGTCAACACACGTTCAGGATGTATGTGAACGTTTGCAGAATGAAAGCCAGATTCGATGTATGGCGAAGCAAACAGCAAGGAGCAAGCCATGTTGTACATAACATGGATGTCTTTATTTACATGTAAAAATCTGTCATTTATGTTTGTGACGCAGTCGCATCACGCATTATTATTTTGGGTGTATCTGAAACTTTCGAAGAGACCTTGAGCACATCATCAGCATGGTAGGCAAATCACGTTATACATGTGATTCATGTCATTATTTTCATTATTATCACCAGTTATTTATGTTGGTCATACAGTGAAATCACGTAATGTTAATTTTTGTGTATATAAAGCGATAGCGAAACAGGTGCGAGCGCGCCATGAACATTGCAACATTGGAAGAAAGGAATATTGTACATGTCATGTCATAATTTTTAGGTTACTTGTCATTTGTTTTACGATCCGTCATTTATGTTGGTCGTACAGACACATCAATTGATCATTAAAAAATTTAGTGTATTAAAGATACTAAAGTGGTCGTGAGCGTACAGTGAGCGTGGCGTGCAAGTCAGGTTGGAGATAGCATTTCTTGATTCCCATCCTACCAATTGTCATTTGCGTTCGTGAGGCAGTCACCTCCAGCAAGATCAAATTTGGTGTATATAAAGCTCACGATATGGCCACGAACGCGCCATGACGTAGCATATATATTATGTTGTGCATGGCTTGCTCGTCATGATTTTCATATTGACACCGGTCAGTTATGTGGCTCATGCAGAAATGTCTCATCATGTTACTTTTTGAAAGTATCGTCTTAAGGAAACAGTCGCAGCAGTGCACTACCGCCATGATGTACCAACCACACCATTCATGACAAATTTCTCATAAGTTGCATTATATTACCAGTCAACAACGTTCCTCATACGGTCATGTTAGGCAATGCAAATTTACGTATAAACCTCGTTTACGCACACTATGGAGAGCACAGAGTCGTAGGCGGCTAGATATATAGACAGATACGCTCAAGGTTTCTGAAGTTCGTTAAGAAATGCTTCAGAGTTAGAGTAAGTCTGAAATGTGCTTAATATGTGTTTGCTATGATTTCACAATATATGATTCTTTAGAATGGCAGCTGTGGTTTAAAACTCGAAAGGAGCGTGAGCTGTTGCACAGAATCGTTTATTGCCGTGAGCAATCAGCAATGAATTTCAAGGGGACGTGAGAAGACAACCATGAGTAAAATATGGCAAAAGCTGACGTGCCCAGTTAAGTGTAGTGACCTGCCGGCCGGACAGAGGTGAAACAAAACTTTTAGGTGAAATCAACCAGCGCTCTATCTATGAGTAACTGTAACAAACATACCAAGCCCTAGGCTTGGCTGCGCTGGCGTTAGTTGCAGCTCGTTGAAACGTGTCGACGGCTGATATTTTATAGAATACGCTACCCGTAGCCCGACCATGTAGTAACAGCTATTAATAGCATATAAACAATTGGTACGTCATAATGGGAAGCTCGCCTACTTTTAGGGGCGAAACTTCTCAGAATCTAAGCTTGTTTTCCGCTGTGGCCATGGTATGCAACCACTGCAATGGCTAGCCAGGGCTGCCCATGTGGCGCACCTAAACTTACACGAAGCGTCGCCCTGGCGAGGTGGCTCAGAACCAGCTAGCAGGACAGAGGCGCCACGAGTTGTAGTACGAGCATGTTTAAGCGTGCCCTCGTACACATTGCGTGTGCTGAAACGCAAGGTCAAAATCATGCGACACTCCCGTACCTCCGCTTAGTCCGATGTGAGTCGGGTTGTAAGTACTTTGGAACGCGAAAAACCCGAAAATATTTGGACTCTTCGCTGAAAACTGTGACGCAGCAGGTGAGCAGTGATGCCAGTGAATATGCTCCGCTAAGCTTTAAGCTATGTGGTGCTCGCGGTCAGATACCTTCGGGAGACGATGTTGTCAAGTGGACGGGCGCTGTCCGTTATGAAGTTCGTGTATGACGTGAAAGAAACAGTGTGACCTTTCGACGCATTGCCAAACATTGTACGGCGTAAACATATACGCAAGTGTGTTCAAATAGCGCTTGCAAAGCTGGACGTAGTGTGCAGCTTGCTCTATGTGCACGATTTTAAGTAAAATAATAGTTTATCAGGTAGCAGTGAGGAATAATTTGGCCCAGTGACAGTTGTTTTGAGCGAGAACATATAATTCGCGTATTTTGAATTGTCGCAGCTCTAGCACTATATATAATACAGCAGCTGTTTTGCTACCCGCGTTCTTTCACAAAGTGTTCAACAGCTAACCTGAACCAAAAAATGCTCGTATCGCTGTTCCCTTAATAACTTTTTGAAGCTGACTGTGAATCGTGAATGTATTGTCTAGGGCATGCGTCACATGAAAGGCCAGTGTAAGGTCGATATTTGTTGTATTATCGGAAATGCAAACATGTCACAGTGGTCGTGTTTTAACGAAGCCGACTTGTCATCGTCTGCAGACTATTTGCAAGGTTGCGGTCGGCCGTTGTCTAAGCTTCATACTTAAAAAATTCCTTTGAACAATCTGGTGGTAATTGGCTTTGTGGTAGTTCTGTAATTGACATGCATTGTGTACACAGTAATGGGATATACGTAGATCATCACTGTTTTTCTAGAAGTCATCGTCTTGTAACCTCTCAGCTATATTACCATGTTTACTAAAATGTGAATTGAGCTTTTTTTTAGATTTTTGCTACAAAAGCTGACCTTCTCAAACCGAATAACAAAATTCAGTTTTCTTTTCTTTCTAGACGTGATAAAATGTCACCCCTCATGTTAAAATCGTGGTCGTGTTACAAATGACTATATACGGCATGTGTGATATAAAGTGTGGTTCTTACGCAACCTACTTAGGTTTTCATGTACTTTCTTGAACGTTTTCAAGGCAAGTTTTATTTAAAATACTCGTGATCTTTTTTAGAGCACGAGCTTATGTGCATTGGTAGAAATAAACATCGGAGGGTTCGAAATATACATGGTCTAGATTATATGTTCCTTTTGATAAGTGCTATTTGTGGTTATGGCATCTGTGAACACAAGGACCCAGGTAACGCAGAACGTTGAGTCAATAAAGTTTGAGTGTAACGAATGTGAGGGAACGTTAGACGGTAAAATTTAACATTGCACTGACGTTTATAGCATTACGTTGCCATAACACAGTGTTTTTAATGTTGCAGCAAGATTCAAATAATCACGTTGTCCTAAAGGGTTGTTTTTAACGAGGAGGCAACAACATTCAATTTATCACGTTGCCCTAACGTGATGGTATTAACGTGGCAGCAACAATCGAATAATCACCTTGTATCAACGTTGTATATAGACATCAAGCCCATGTTTAACAGCGAACGTAGACAAAACATGGAGAACATAATCGCTGAAACATCTACTTGCACACATGGAAACGTTTCAACTTCGTGTACTTATTTTGGTACCGGCATACACCAAGAGAGATACGAATATTAGTATTACATCTGTCGCTTTGCGTGGAGGGGAATTTTATTTTTA